ACACTGTCGTTTTTTTTTCGGGTCGAAATTTTGATTTCGATATCTCAGCTCTGGAAGGGTCTAGAGCCTCCATTTTTGCACTCAGGTCAAAGTCTCGTGCCCTCTATCATAATCCAGAGTTTTGAGAAGATTGGAGAAAACTTAATTTTTCGCCCAAAAATGAAAAAAACGAAAGGGGTAACACTGTCGTTTTTTTTCGGGTCGAAATTTTGAATTTCGATATCTCAGCTCTGGAAGGGTCTAGAGCCTCCATTTTTGCACTCAGGTCAAAGTCTCGTGGCCCTCTATCATAATCCAGAGTTTTGAGAAGATTGGAGAAACTTAATTTTTCGCCCAAAAATGAAAAAAAAACGAAAGGGGTAACACTGTCGTTTTTTTTTCGGGTCGAAATTTTGAATTTTGATATCTCAGCTCTGGAAGGGTCTAGAGCCTCCATTTTTGCACTCAGGTCAAAGTCTCGTGGCCCTCTATCATAATCCAGAGTTTTGAGAAGATTGGAGAAACTTAATTTTTCGCCCAAAAATGAAAAAAAACGAAAGGGTAACACTGTCGTTTTTTTTCGGGTCGAAATTTTGAATTTTGATATCTCAGCTCTGGAAGGGTCTAGAGCCTCCATTTTTGCACTCAGGTCAAAGTCTCGTGGCCCTCTATCATAATCCAGAGTTTTGAGAAGATTGGAGAAACTTAATTTTTCGCCCAAAAATGAAAAAAAAACGAAAGGGGTAACACTGTCGTTTTTTTTTCGGGTCGAAATTTTGAATTTTGATATCTCAGCTCTGGAAGGGTCTAGAGCCTCCATTTTTGCACTCAGGTCAAAGTCTCGTGGCCCTCTATCATAATCCAGAGTTTTGAGAAGATTGGAGAAACTTAATTTTTCGCCCAAAAATGAAAAAAAACGAAAGGGGTAACACTGTCGTTTTTTTTTCGGGTCGAAATTTTGAATTTTGATATCTCAGCTCTGGAAGGGTCTAGAGCCTCCATTTTTGCACTCAGGTCAAAGTCTCGTGGCCTCTATCATAATCCAGAGTTTTGAGAAGATTGGAGAAACTTAATTTTTCGCCCAAAAATGAAAAAAAAACGAAAGGGGTAACACTGTCGTTTTTTTTTCGGGTCGAAATTTTGAATTTTGATATCTCAGCTCTGGAAGGGTCTAGAGCCTCCATTTTTGCACTCAGGTCAAAGTCTCGTGGCCCTCTATCAGAATCCAGAGTTTTGAGAAGATTGGAGAAACTTAATTTTTCGCCCAAAAATGAAAAAAAACGAAAGGGGTAACACTGTCGTTTTTTTTCGGGTCGAAATTTTGAATTTTGATATCTCAGCTCTGGAAGGGTCTAGAGCCTCCATTTTTGCACTCAGGTCAAAGTCTCGTGGCCCTCTATCATAATCCAGAGTTTTGAGAAGATTGGAGAAACTTAATTTTTCGCCCAAAAATGAAAAAAAACGAAAGGGGTAACACTGTCGTTTTTTTTTTCGGGTCGAAATTTTGAATTTTGATATCTCAGCTCTGGAAGGGTCTAGAGCCTCCATTTTTGCACTCAGGTCAAAGTCTCGTGGCCCTCTATCATAATCCAGAGTTTTGAGAAGATTGGAGAAACTTAATTTTTCGCCCAAAAATGAAAAAAAACGAAAGGGGTAACACTGTCGTTTTTTTTTCGGGTCGAAATTTTGAATTTTGATATCTCAGCTCTGGAAGGGTCTAGAGCCTCCATTTTTGCACTCAGGTCAAAGTCTCGTGGCCCTCTATCATAATCCAGAGTTTTGAGAAGATTGGAGAAACTTAATTTTTCGCCCAAAAATGAAAAAAAACGAAAGGGTAACACTGTCGTTTTTTTTCTGGTCGAAATTTTGAATTTCGATATCTCAGCTCTGGAAGGGTCTAGAGCCTCCATTTTTGCACTCAAGTCAAAGTTTCGTTGCCCTCTATCATAATCCAGAGTTTTGAGAAGATTGGAGAAACTTAATTTTTCGCCCAAAAATGAAAAAAAACGAAAGGGGTAACACTGTCGTTTTTTTTTCGGGTCGAAATTTTGAATTTCGATATCTCAGCTCTGGAAGGGTCTAGAGCCTCCATTTTTGCACTCAGGTCAAAGTCTCACAGCCCTCTATCATAATCCAGAGTTTTGAGAAGATTGGAGAAACTTAATTTTTCGCCCAAAAATGAAAAAAAACGAAAGGGGTAACACTGTCGTTTTTTTTTCGGGTCGAAATTTTGAATTTTGATATCTCAGCTCTGGAAGGGTCTAGAGCCTCCATTTTTGCACTCAGGTCAAAGTCTCGTGGCCCTCTATCATAATCCAGAGTTTTGAGAAGATTGGAGAAACTTAATTTTTCGCCCAAAATGAAAAAAAAAACGAAAGGGGTAACACTGTCGTTTTTTTTTCGGGTCGAAATTTTGAATTTTGATATCTCAGCTCTGGAAGGGTCTAGAGCCTCCATTTTTGCACTCAGGTCAAAGTCTCGTGGCCCTCTATCATAATCCAGAGTTTTGAGAAGATTGGAGAAACTTAATTTTTCGCCCAAAAATGAAAAAAAACGAAAGGGGTAACACTGTCGTTTTTTTTCGGGTCGAAATTTTGAATTTTGATATCTCAGCTCTGGAAGGGTCTAGAGCCTCCATTTTTGCACTCAGGTCAAAGTCTCGTGGCCCTCTATCATAATCCAGAGTTTTGAGAAGATTGGAGAAACTTAATTTTTCGCCCAAAATGAAAAAAAACGAAAGGGGTAACACTGTCGTTTTTTTTTCGGGTCGAAATTTTGAATTTTGATATCTCAGCTCTGGAAGGGTCTAGAGCCTCCATTTTTGCACTCAGGTCAAAGTCTCGTGGCCCTCTATCATAATCCAGAGTTTTGAGAAGATTGGAGAAACTTAATTTTTCGCCCAAAAATGAAAAAAAACGAAAGGGGTAACACTGTCGTTTTTTTTTCGGGTCGAAATTTTGAATTTTGATATCTCAGCTCTGGAAGGGTCTAGAGCCTCCATTTTTGCACTCAGGTCAAAGTCTCGTGGCCCTCTATCATAATCCAGAGTTTTGAGAAGATTGGAGAAACTTAATTTTTCGCCCAAAAATGAAAAAAAACGAAAGGGGTAACACTGTCGTTTTTTTTTTCGGGTCGAAATTTTGAATTTTGATATCTCAGCTCTGGAAGGGTCTAGAGCCTCCATTTTTGCACTCAGGTCAAAGTCTCGTGGCCCTCTATCATAATCCAGAGTTTTGAGAAGATTGGAGAAACTTAATTTTTCGCCCAAAAATGAAAAAAAAACGAAAGGGGTAACACTGTCGTTTTTTTTTCGGGTCGAAATTTTGAATTTTGATATCTCAGCTCTGGAAGGGTCTAGAGCCTCCATTTTTGCACTCAGGTCAAAGTCTCGTGGCCCTCTATCATAATCCAGAGTTTTGAGAAGATTGGAGAAACTTAATTTTTCGCCCAAAAATGAAAAAAAACGAAAGGGGTAACACTGTCGTTTTTTTTTCGGGTCGAAATTTTGAATTTTGATATCTCAGCTCTGGAAGGGTCTAGAGCCTCCATTTTTGCACTCAGGTCAAAGTCTCGTGGCCCTCTATCAGAATCCAGAGTTTTGAGAAGATTGGAGAAACTTAATTTTTCGCCCAAAAATGAAAAAAAACGAAAGGGGTAACACTGTCGTTTTTTTTTTCGGGTCGAAATTTTGAATTTTGATATCTCAGCTCTGGAAGGGTCTAGAGCCTCCATTTTTGCACTCAGGTCAAAGTCTCGTGGCCCTCTATCATAATCCAGAGTTTTGAGAAGATTGGAGAAACTTAATTTTTCGCCCAAAAATGAAAAAAAACGAAAGGGGTAACACTGTCGTTTTTTTTTCGGGTCGAAATTTTGAATTTTGA